TTCAAATGGGTCGATTCCCGACAAAGTTCCGTTCTACGATAACCGGTGTCTCCTCATTTAGATTTTTCTGGTTGCTAGATTGTTCTTAGGCGTCAGGTTAAAGTTAAGAAATGCAGGTTTCGGGTTTGTATTTTATTATTCATGTGAATTTTTGTGCTGACTGTACCCGCACGTGCATCACGCATGCTGCGTAACACACAGTAATGACAGTGTGCCGCCGCCACAGCCAGGGCCTTCAGCGTCGACAACATTCAATATTTTAACGAAGGGCCTCATGCACACATACATAGCCTGTGTGTGTGTTAACAAGGCATACGATCGGAAAAATTTAAGTACATTGTATATTATAATTACATTGTTGATGGAACGAAGGTTTCATTATCTAAAGGGTCGTAATTTGATTGCTGTTTAAATTTGTACCTTTTTATGTCCGAAAGATACCCTGCACTTTGAGGGAAGATGTTCACATAACTGTATCTCAAACTCTCAAGTATTACTCATTAAAACCCTCGATGGTCACCGTCAGATGGATTTGTAAAGGTCATGGAATCTCCAATGTAAATTCGTACATACTCTGTAACAACTAACTCAACCATTTTTTAAAAATAAAATCGTTTGCAAGGTGTTTATTTTGCTATAATTTCATCTTCATTTTAAAGATATACAAACACGCTCACATTTTTTTCTATTTTTTAATGTCCAAAGCTAAAATACGAATAGCTTTTTAGCCCTAAAGTAATGTAATTGTTGATTATTTTTTTCTATCGTTGTTACTTCGCGTAAGGTCGTGGAGGCTTATTTCTTTATTATTTAATGCATGACGGCTGCCGACAAATTTATATTCAAGGCGAGACAAGCTTGTAATACAATTACTACAACACAAAGGTACTGGCATTGACGACTTAAACTGAATTGGTTCAATTAAAATATTTTTAACTTGTGCGGTTACTTGTTTACGAAGAAACAAAACAACAACGCATATTACTGGATATAGACACACAAATATATGAAAATCGCATTTCCATAATCATAGTATTTCACATTATTTTCATAGTAAATAGGTAATTCGGTAACCCTAAGCTTCTGTATCTACAACGTAGACGACACCGAGATGTCTTTCCGTTCAATTACGTTAGCTACGTCTAAATGGGAAGGGCATTCTTCTAGCCTAAGGTTAATATCAAAGGTACAAAACCACTTTTATATAAGTAATTTTTAAAGCAAAACAAGAGAATCTATGATTTACATATCTTTATCAGATAATTAGACGAAGAACAACAAATATATACTGTTAATTTTAATACAAAGCGCCTAAAGGTACCTAAAGAATTCGCACCAGTATGTAAAACTACAACAAGAAAATTAAAAACATTTAATGCATCGTAGTTACCTAGCACCGGCACATACATATACTTCACAATAAAAAAGCACAGATGATAATTTATGTGACAAGTATAAATCGAGAAAATGATAAAACAGTTGTTCACCTTCCCTCGGTGCTCACAGCATTGCGAATAAAGCGACAAACACAAGGTTCTTCCTTGTCACTGAATCATCACACCCTTTTACCATTGCATTGTGCAACGTTTTATTACAATCCCAACAATCATGAAACGCAAAAGAAAATTTTATAATTTCTCTACAACTTCCTCGTTTAGTAATAACCTACTAAAAAGTTCTTACAATTAACGAAGGTAAGGAGTAAAAGGTTAGCATGGTATGGGCATGTTATAAGGGATGAATGGCATGTTACGAGGAGAACTTTAGTTATGAGTGTGGAGGTACATCGGTAGAGGTAGACCTAGAAAGAGATGAATGGATTGCGTGAAAGGTGACATGATCAAAAAGGCAGTGATGACTGAGATGACGTATGATAGAGTTATTTGGAAAACGGGAACCTGTCACGCCGACCCTACGAGAGTAGGATAAGGGGGATGATGATGATGAATTAACGAAGTCAATCAAAGCCAATGCAAAGACGTCAAAAGTTTAGAGTCTAGATTCGATATTTCAATGCAATTCGCAGACTACTATTAGATTAATATTGAAGTTCCTTGTTTTCAATAACTTGACCATGGTTATATTATCTTACAAGTTAACGTCATCAGACTATATAACTCTTGTGGTTAATGTCCACTGATATCCAACAAAAGGGATTGATAAAATCGATATCACAAGTGTTACTATGCTTCCGTATTGTCCACGTAAACAAGTTACTGTAACATCCACACGCAGAATGATCAAATGGGTACTCAGACCTTTCTTGATTTCATACGTAACAGTACACGTGGGACTTTAAAGTTCTAAAAATGCCTGTTACAAAACCCCTAGTGCGCTGAGTACCCGCAGCTAAAGGCGGGCTCTCACAGACTCAAGCGCATTGCAATTAGCTCAATTACCCTCTATTGGCAGTGTATTTCTGTTCACTTAAGGGTTTCCTCAACAGCTGTACTAATCGGGTCATTCATTATTTATTAATTTACTAATTTAGATAGTCCCATTACTATTACGAATCTTACACGCTATTAACACACCGAGCAAACTACTATCCTCGAAAATAACACATGCCATAGTCATAGAGAACAGTAATCCATCAGTTTATAGCAACGATTGAAGTCAGTCGATAGATCTAAGACATTTGTATGCAAGTCGGCGTAGAAGCGGCGATGTTCTGTAGATCTAATTCAGCGCAGTCGGCAGTTCCCGCGGGAGTTCCGGGTTGGCAACCATCCAGGAACGCACGAAGGATGCACAAAAGACCGCATCCAGAATTATGACACCCCAAACTATACATGGAACAGCAAAGCGCTCCGACACTGTCCGGGAATACAAAATGATCTTTTAACCTATTCAGAGGAAAAAAACCTTTCGTCTTATGATAAATTAACTGTTAATACAACGGAAAAAAAATGTTGGTCTTTGATAAAAAAGAGATAATAACGTTATTCTTTAAGACTGCTTTAGAAATATTGCTGTCAATATGAATAAAAGTCTTCATTATTTAAGAAATAGTCGTATCAATTTGTAGATTTTGTAGAGGAAAGAATGCTCACCTTTACTCTGAGTCTCTGGTCCACGCACTGCTTGAGCACGGCGAGAGGACCGTCTATGTCATGGATGCGGTGAAGTACGTTCTTACTGGTCCTGGCCGGCGGCGGTCGGCTCGGAACGGGAGCTAGGAAAAACATTAAAATCAATAATGTACAAAGCAGACAGAAGTGGAAACCCACGGTTATGCTAACATTAATTTTCGTGTTTTCACAATGAAAGTGGACTGTAATAGGCTTTTTAGTAAGTTTATCTTGTAATTAGGAAACTTGGCATTTAATTGTTTTTTACCACACGGCATTTTCAAATTATTTATAGCAGCTATTAAAAGATTTATTTACATTAAACTTCATAACACTATACATTAAAAATTGTTTACACTTTTACAAACTTTTCCGTGTTACGGAGCCTTTACAGATACCATGAGATCAAAGAAAGTTATCATATTTCATTATGTAGAGAGTGTAATCATCGCGACAGGCGATTTTGTTTGCTTTATAAA